GAACATCTCTCTGGAGAGACCTGAATATAGCTGTGCAGTGACGCTCCCCATCCAACCTGACAGAGCTTGAGAGGATCTGCAGAGAAGAATGGGAGAATCTCCCTAAATGCTTCAACAGAGTACTGAGTAAAGGGTCCGAATCCTTATGTACATTTAATATTTCAGTTTTTTTTTTTATATATAAATTTGCAAACATTTCTAAAAACCAGTTTTTGCTTTCTCATTATGGGGTATTGTGTGTAAAAAAACAACAACAACAACAATTTCATCAATTTTAGAATAAGGCTGTAACGTAACAAAATGTGGAAAAGGTGAAGGGGTCTGAATACTTTCCGAATGCACTGTAAGCTACAGATATCTGTTTTTTTTTGCATTGAATGCATCTCAATCCACCACATCCACGGTGAAAGAGGACAGAGCTAGAGCGGTGTTTGTCAGACCATGAGACATCCCGAAAATCGGTCTTCTCACAAAATCTCCTGTAGCGTCCGAACGGTTTGGCCTACAAACTATTATGACCCCTCTATGGAAAGATGAGACTCTCACGAACACAATGGTATTTTGCTCTACAACCCCCACAAATGTCTTGGGACTCGTCTGAAGTCGGTACAGCCAATCTGCTAACTTCTGTCTGTAGCATCCAAACCTTTTGGGCTACACACTAATATGTTATTTTGCTCTAGGTTGCCCACAGGCCTCACAATACTCGTCTGAAGGTCGCCCGGTGTCAGTTGAAAAAATGTATGTAAGTATACAGTTGAAGTCTGAAGTTTCTTGTTCTTGTTAACAAACTATTGTTTTGGCAAGTCGGTTAGGACATCTACTTTGTGCATGACACAAGTAATTTTTCCAACAATTGTTTACAGACAGATTATTTCACTTATAATTCACTGTATCACAATTCCAGTGGGTCAGAAGTTTACATACACTAAGTTGACTGTGCCTTTAAACAGCTTGGAAAATTCCAGAAAATGATGTCATGGCTTTAGAAGCTTCTGATAGGCTAATTGACATCTTTTGAGTCAATGGGAGGTGTACCTGTGGATGTATTTCAAGGCCTACCTTCAAACTCAGTGCGTCTTTGCTTGACATCATGGGAAAATCTAAACAAATCAGCCAAGACCTCAGAACAAAAATTGTAGACCTCCACAAGTCTGGTTCATCCTTGGGAGCAATTTCCAAATGCCTGAAGGTACCACGTTCATCTGTACAATCAATAGTATGCAAGTATAAACACCATGGAACCACGCAGCCGTCATACCGCTCAGGAAGGAGACGCCTTCTGTTTCCTAGAGATGAACGTACTTTGGTACGAAAAGTGCAAATCAATCCCAGAACAACAGCAAAGGACCTTGTGAAGATGCTGGAGGAAACAGGTACAAAAGTATCTATATCCACAGTAAAACGAGTCCTATATCGACATAACCTGAAAGGCCGCTCAGCAAGGAAGAAGCCACTGCTCCAAAACCGCCATGTAAGTCGCTCTGGATAAGACTAAAATGTAAATGTAATAAAAAAGCAAGACTACAGTTTGCAACTGCACATGGGGACAAAGATCATACTTTTTGGAGAAATGTCCTCTGGTCTGATGAAACAAAAATAGAACTGTTTGGCCATAATGACCATTGTTATGTTCGGAGGAAAAAGAGGGAATGCTTGCAAGCCGAAGAACACCATCCCAACCATGAAGCACAGGGGTGGCAGCATCATGCTGTGGGGATGCTTTGCTGCAGGAGGGACTGGTGCACTTCACAAAATTGATGGCATCATGAGGAAGGAAAATTATGTGGATATATTGAAGCAACATCTCAAGACATCAGTCAGGAAGTTAAAGCTTGGTCACAAATGGGTCTTCCAAATGGACAATGACCCCAAGCATACTTCCAAAGTTGTGGCAAAATGGCTTAAGGACAACAAAGTCAAGGTATTGGAGTGGCCATCACAAAGCCCTGACCTCAATCCTATAGAACATTTGTGGGCAGAACTGAAAAAGCGTGTGTGAGCAAGGACGCCTACAAACCTAACTCAGTTACACCAGCTCTGTCAGGAGGAATGGGCCAACATTCACCCAACTTGTTGTGGGACGCTTGTGGAAGGCTACCCGAAACGTTTGACCCAAGTTAAACAATATAAAGGCAATGCTACCAAATACTAATTGAGAGTATGTAAACTTCTGACCCACTGGGAATGTGATGAAAGAAATAAAAGTTGAAATAAATCATTCTCTCTACTATTATTCTGACATTTCACATTCTTAAAATAAAGTGGTGATCCTAACTGACCTAAGACATGGAATTTTTACTAGGATTAAATGTCAGGAATTGTGAAAAACTGAGTTTAAATGTATTCCGACTTCAACTGTATATGGAGACTGTTTAGTGCCAAAAATAAGGGGTTAAATACAAATGTTTCCTGATGTTTCTTATATCGCTCAGATATAGGACAGACACTTCAGAACAAACTTCCTTAAGATTATATCTGTTGTTCCATGTAGTGAATCTGTTATTCAATGTGTTTATATGGGATAATAGCAATAAGGTCAAATAAACATTTTCATCAAATATTTTTTGGGGGATACTTCAAGCGGTCTTAAAATTCTAAATCAAATAGCAAAATGATCCTGGGTATGAAGTTCTTAAAACAATTCCATATATAGCATTTAAAAATCATGTCAACCCCTATTATTTCACACAGAGTGAGCTTTTTATGTGATTTGTTGAGCAACATTTTACACCTGAACTAATTTAGGATAGCTTAAGCAAAGTGGCTGAATACTTATGTAACGACTATATTTTATGCTTTTCATTTTTTTAGTAATCTTTTTTTTTAATCAAAAAAATCTTCCACTTTAAAATTAGAGTATTTTGTGTATATAGTTGACCAAAAATCACAATTAAATCCATTTAATCCCACTTTCTAACACAATAAAATGTGAAGAAATCAAAGGGGTCTGAATACTTTTGTAAGGCACTGTAAATGACCAATGACATTTACAATCAGATCGATAAAAGACTCAGACCATCGATTGTTCATCAGTGAACAGGACTTCAGCTCTTATACACATCAGACAGATGTATTACATACAAACACAACCTTCTCCCAAAACGCCATCACATCTTGGTGTGATAGATCAGCCACAGTGACATACAATAGCCCTCAGAGCGGCAAGGGCGATCGTTTAATGATACCAATCTATTCTGCTCTGTGTCACAAACGCTTTACACAACCACATGCAGGATGTAAATCAAGCAGGGTGAAAGGGAATTGAAGGCCATATGAACAGCGCTGAGAGGCCTAGCAAATTACCATACTGCACGCAGCTGCTGACTGTGTCAGCTGGTGCAATGTCTGCAGTCCTGTTATGTCATATATTGTTGTACCTTTCACCTTTTCACACCTGAAAAAGTCCCTCCTCAGTAAACCACAAAGCAAATATTATAAAAACCTACAGACTCCATCATCATTGGTCTGAGCCTGTAATGTTAATTAAACAACCACATTTTCTGTCTGGATTAAATTTACTGTTGGGGAACAAGACTGATTCTAACCACTATTACACGCAGAAACTAGTGCACAATAACAGAATTAAGCTGGGACTCCTATTTTTCACTGTATTGCAAAGTTAAACAAACCATACAACTCTATGCACAGGGACTACTTTGAACAATTTCCACTGAAAACTTTCCAAAAATAAATTTACTCAAAGAACAGTACAGATGGAAAGTTTGGTTACAGAATGACGGTAAAATCTCCCTCAGTTTTTTATGTGACCGCGTTTTCCAAAAATTCTGTTAAATATCTATATTTACTCCGAATTAAGATTCAAAGATGTCTGCAGAAAGAATGGGGCGTCAGCTATGATATGACACCTTAAGTTAGAAAAAATCACTTTTGGTTATTGAACTACAGTAAGTGAAGTGGATTAACATCCGATAACACCTGTCAAACTCATTCCAAGGAGGGCCAAGAGTCTGCGGGTTTTTGCTCCTCCCTTGTACTTGATTGATGAATTAAGGTCACTAATTAGTAAAGAACGCCCCTCACCTGGTTGTCTAGGTCTTGAAAAGAAAAAACAAAAACCTGCAGACACTAGGCCCTCTATGGAATGAGTTTAACACCCCTGCAATAACAGAATGATGGTAACAGAATTGCATCATGGGTCATAATTATGAAAGTCATTCTCTTCATGGTGATGTATCCTGAATAGGTACATGAAGGTAGAAAAATGTAATATCCTCCTTTGCATGTTTGGGTATTATTCTACACACTGGCTATTATTCTAATGAGCTCCGCCCCCAAACAAGACCAAATTTGGTTGGTCCGGACTGGACCAAATCTGTACCAATCATAAACGTCTATGTTTCACACAAGTGTGGACATCACAGACCAGCACAGTAGAGTACAGTACAGCACAGCACAACACAGCATAGCACAGTAGAGTAGAGTATAGTACTGTATTGTACAGTACAGTACCATACAGTAAATGATACTGTACTCTACTCTAGTGTGCTTTACTGTACTGTACTGTACTGACCTATACTCTACTCTACTTTTCTATACTGTACTGTACTGTACTGTTCTGTACTGTGCTGTCCAAACTTGTGAAACAGACACCAGTTGAAATAAAAATTGTTATTTACATTTGATTGTGTTGTCAACTAATGTGAATTCAACATGAAATCAACAAAAAAAATCTATATGACTTTGGATTTAGGTTAAAAGTTGGGTGAAAAAAAGACGAAATGTCCTTATATTAATGACTTTTTGCTAATCCAATCAGTTTTCCACATATATTCAACATGATATTGATTTTTTTAAACTGTTGAAACGACGTGGAAACATTGTTGATTCAGTGGGCTTTGGTTTGGTTCAGATTTTAACTGACCAAATTTTTTACTGACTACTTTTCTACCTCCATGGACGTCCAGTGTCAGTCGGTGCTCAGTGGGTGAAAGGTCTGGTTACAGTAAATGGAAAGAAAAGGGGCTCATGGGTAGGTCTCAGTTAGAGCTAGGAGAGGTAACATTAACTGCTTTGACCACCCTGCGACAGAAAGAGAAAGAAAACAGTTATGAGCAGAGCATAACAGAATGCCAGTGGAAGAGAGGATAGTAGCAGGTCACCCAACTGTGAATTCCCATTGTAGCCAATTCAGTTGCTGTCATTCTGTTACTGATTTGGAAACAGAATGACACATTTTAATCACTTAATAAATCATAAACCAAATTGCTTTCCGTAAAAACACGAACTAATTGTTATGTCTACCTTTACTTGTTACTTCTGTAAACTTTCATTATTTTTGGTGACAGAATGACAAGACACTAGGCAATATTTCTTAAACTTACAGAAGGCAAGAGCCCTTTTCCATCTGTTTGACCAGAAAGCCTTTACTTATTCCACATTTTTAGGATGGAAAATGGTTGAATAATTGATATATGCCTTTTATTTTATTTTTTAAATAGACTCTTAGCTTTCATTTGACACCAAATTTGATATGCTCCTATGAACTTCACGTTAGTGGTCATGGAGCCTTTTATACAGAAATGCCCTACACTGTATCAAGCAGCATCAGTTCAGCTGGCTCCTCATCTCTCTCTCTCTCTTTCTGGTTTTCAACCTCTCTCTCCTCCCTCCCTCACGCCATCCATCCCTTGCAGAGTAGACAGACTGAAAGCAAACTCATCCTCCTCTTATCAGCCAAATGCACCATATTTATCTCTTCTTTCCATCTCTCTCACATTCACTTGTTCCAGCTAGCCTCACTAGATTACATTACTTGTGGTGGTGCTGAAAGCAGACCGCTGAGAGAAAAGCATCTATTCTTCAGCGCCTAGCATTGTGCTCTACTGTATAGTGTTACATTACTGTGTTTGCATTCCATTAATAAGAACTGGACAGAGAGACGGCGGCGTGCCTGTGAGTCTGTACTGTGTGTATGTGTGCTCAGTATTGACAGAAGTGGTTAGCGTATTACGTAAACTAGACTCTCTATCCTATTGCCACTCTACCATATTAAAGAGGGAATTACAGAAACTATAGTCGTTTCTTTCCTCCATCCTGCATGTCCTCTTGCTCAGGTTTCCATCATGTTCCAACTGTCTTTCAACTCCAGAAAGGCATGCAGTCTTACGCTCTAACCCCACATCCTAACTACAGGCCTGGGGCTGGAGGCCATGCAACTGTGCTTAGCTGAGAGGAGAGAGAGACTACTGCCTTGACATTCACTGGGCTGAGCTGCACTCATCTCATCCTATACACACTCCTCCATTACCTCGCTCTCATACACTCATATTCACATTCACATACATACACACGCATGCACACACACACACACACGTGCGCACGTACAGTACATACACCCCCCTCACACACACCACACAGACACACACACACCGGCAGTGTGGCATGTTGGAGGTGGTGTATGAGTCAGTCAGTTGGGTGATTCCTTAATAAACAGGCTATTCAATTATTCACCAGATTAACGGCCTCGATGTGACACTCAGGATGTGTCCTGGCTTAAATGATTTCCCTTAGGCAGGGGCGCTCCCCCCCTCCCCCCTCCATTTTGCCATGATATCTGAATGAAAGTGACTAACAAAATCAATGGGGGCCCCCTGAAGGTCAGGGCCCTTGGGTACGTGCTCTGCGTGCCTGGTCGGTATTCGGCCATGATTACTGCAAGTTTAGATAGCTGGCTAGACTAACTTACCAATCAAAAAAAATTTTAGCTGACATGGCTAATTGACTGACTGTCAGTGACCGACATAACAAGAGAAAAATTGCTGACGCTCAACCACATTTCAAACTTGCACCTTGTGTATTCTACTATTCTAACTCTCAACAGTAAGTTGAGAACCAGACTGAGTTCCCTTTTTTTTTTCTAAAAATAAATAAATATTTTTTGGGGGGGGGTTGTGGGCCCCCTAGCGGCCTGGGGCCCTAAGCGACCGCTTATGTCGCTTACGCCTGGAGCCGGCCCTGATCAGGTATCACAGGCTCAGGCCCAACCTGCAGGGGAATCTTTCTTACCATCTGCATGTGAATCAAACTGACTGTATCAACACATTTAGTAGTATTTGGTTAGATTTTAATTTGAACAAGTATGCCAAATCATTGCTGGAGGGTGGAGGAAACCATCTGGTCCAAGAAGTGACTCAGGAGTCAGGACGTACCTTTATATTTCCCTAAGGTATCAACCACAGATCCTGACTGAGATTGCATTAAGAGAGTTCCTTCAAAACCTCTATCAACTTTCTGTCTCATCATGGTGTATAACCCACAGGCAGCAGAGAGACCTCAGGGAGACAGTTGGTTTTGAATGACTCAAAGAAAAGGGCAACAGTTGACGTTCCAGTCAATTACCCTCATTACTTGTAGTTACTCTTTAACTACTTTGGCATCTGGAATGTCATTACTCAACTGTACTTAGTAGCACAAATCAATGATTGAACTTAAATCAAAGGAAACTGGCAAGCTTATTTAGTGTGTAATCAAGGATAGCAGGCATATATCTTTACACTCAACCAGTGACTTTCAGCAAAACATAGATTGTTTTGGTTTCAACACTCACATTATCAGTATTTCAACAAATGTCCATATGTATGTCCGTGTGTCTGTGTATCCGTGTGTGTGTCCGTGTGTATATAGTATGTGTGTGTTTGTGTGGTAGTAACAGCCAGAAGGGACAGAGACAGGAGGGTGCCTCCCCAGCTCAGTGTCAAACCCAGTGAACAGCACCCACAGGTAGGGAGAGCCCAAGCAGAGACCCGCCCCACAGCCCTCTGGGAAGGGAGGGGCCAGATCCAGTCCTCCAGGGCTGGCAGGTTTAGCACACACCTCTCAATTAGAGGAGCAAAACATAAACGGCCGGTTTTATTTACGATCCAAATAATGATTGTCTGGTTACGCAACCAAGGGATAAACCTCTCTGGGTGGTGGATATGTCATAATGAACGGCCCCATGGGAGTATAGGAGAGGAGACTGGCCCCGCTTATTTTTTGAAACAGTTTCCTTGGAATAATGGTTTCTCCCACATCTGATACTTCCTCAAAAGCAATGCGGTTCTTATTTTCACTTCAATATCAAGACACCAAAGCGATCTAACATTCTGTTTACACAGAATGCTAACATTATGTGTGCATAGAGTGAGATCAGGAACTGAGAGAAGTGGTTTTGAATGTCTAATAGCTACAGTATGACAGTGTACTGTAGGGTCATGACTAGGTATCAGACAGAATCACATACAGAGAGATCCAGACAGAGAGGATAAGACAATTGAAGAGACGCAAAGAGTCAAAGACTCAGAGTTAGTCAAAGAAAGAGGTCAGTCAGTCACAGGAAAAGTGAGTAAATACAGTGACAGTCACACTGAGAGTTTGAGTCACAGATGATAAGTCACAGAACGTGTGTCACATAGCCAGGGGCCACACGTACGCACACATAAACATGCACACACATAAACAAACACACACAACAACAAACACACATGGATATGGGTCAGACATAGAGAGGTCAGAGGTCAACTCACTGTGAGCGGCAAAGAGCAGACAACGAAGATGACCGTCATGGAGGCCAGCAGCATCAGGTGGTCCATCTCCTCCTCCCCCTGTCCGAACCAGCCCAGACTCATCTTCCTCTTCCTCCCTCCGTTCACCACCGAACCACGGCGTGTCATCTGGCTGCGGTGCATCCGGCACAGGCTGACGATCACCGAGCCGTTGCACACAAACACTGCCACGATCAGCAGCGCCATGACCGAGGCGTAGGACAGCGAGAACGCCAGAACCTTCCTCTCCTCGTCCGCCCCCTCGCCCGCCGCCTCCATCTTGATGAAGCACCATGTGCCGGGGCAGTACTGCTTGTGGCGGCCGTAGCCAAAGAATGGCAAAACACAGAAGGCGCAGGTGAAGATGTAGATGAGCAGGAGGGCCACCTTGGCGAAGCTGCGTCGGACACACTTGGAGTAAAAATAGGGGTGGCTGATGGCCAGGCAGCGCTCCACGGCCATGGCACACAGGATGAGCATGGAGGCCAGGCCGAAGAAGGTCATGGCAAAGGCGAAGAGGCCACAGAGTCCCTGGTCCCCAGTGAGCCCCAGCAGGGATCGCTGGCGGGCGTAGCACACAAACACCAGGGGGCTAAGGAAGCAGGTTCCCAGCAGGTCTGTCAGGGCCAGCCCCGTCACCAGGATGCAGAAGACGGAGGACTTGGTGCGCCGCTCCTTCTGGTGGACCCCCAGGATGGCCAGGGCAATGAAGTTCCCCATCACCCCCAGGATGAACATCACTGTGCTCACCACCGGGTTCCCGTTCGTGTGGATATGGGTGCTGTTCTCGCAGCTCTCGTTCGACAGCATGACTGGAGGTTCAGTGTGTGTGTGTGTGTGTGTGTGTGTGTGTGTGTGTGTGTGTGTGTGTGTGTGTGTGTGTGTGTGTGTGTGTGTGTGTGTGTGTGTGTGTGTGTGTGTGTGTGTGTGTGTGTGTGTGTGCTGTGTGTCAGGCTGTAAGTATTGTGGTGTGCCCCCTCAAGCTCTTGAAGTCACCCTTTTTTGGCAGCAGAAGAGGCTAGGGTAAGTGTTAGGACCCATTCCACTGGGCAAAAACTGGTTGAATCAACGTTCTTTCCACATCATTTCAACCCAATAATTTTATCTGATGACCTTGAATCAACCTGGAAAACTGATTTGATTTGAAAAAAGTCATCAACATAAGGGAATTATGTCTTTTTTTCACCCAACCTTTGACCTAAATCCAATGAAATGTTTTGTTGATTTAGGTTGAATTCAAGTTAGTTGACAACTCAACCAATGTAAATCAAAACTAGACCTTGAACTGACATCTGTGACCAATGGGATGACATTGCTGAGTCAGTGTGATTCAGTGGAGTTCACCAAAATTCCTCTTGTTGCTCTTCTATAAAGTTTCCAAAGTCTCCAAGGTATAAAAACGGTTCTAAGTCCTATTTTTAAAGAAAACATGCAACTATTTAGGGCTCCATTGCGCAAAATGTATATCTATGCCTATAGAACCCAGAATCGAGGTAAGGGCAGTTCAAACGATATTCACATTCATGAGTAATAAATAAACACTGTGTATAGGAACGAAACAAGCTCTCAACTCTTACCAGACGGCTCTCAACTTGCGACAAATATCGACTGCCACTCCTTATTTTTTGATCAGTCTATTCTACAGTCCCCGTTAGCGACAGTGCAAACGCTATAGTATTATGTCCTTCCTCTGAAACTCAAATTCTCCGACTGTCGCACGCATCTGTCTGACAGCTAATGATAAAGTGGTTAGTGCGTGTGTCACTTTCTGCTCTCTCTCTCGCTCTGTCTCGCCCACGCGTAGCCTTTTCTCTCTCTCTCTCTCTCTCTCTCTCTCTCTCTCTCTCTCTCTCTCTCTCTCTCTCTCTCTCTCTCTCTCTCTCTCTCTCTCTCTCTCACCACACTTTCTCACACTTTCATTCTTTCATAGACCGTCCGTATTTCCGAGGTGATTTTGGTAGGTTTTCAAATGTTTCATAATTTACATATGGCACAATCTTTTCCCGCTTTCTTTAATCTAACCATTACACTACCAATAAAACATTAAGAGGCAGGGCCGCCTATGGATGAATCACAAGGACCACTCTGGAGACCACCTTCAAGAAGCCCAGTGACGAACCATAGGGTACTATAGCCTATATAACTATTTTAAAAAACAAAAACATATCTGAGACATTTAATTACTTAAAGTCATTTTTCTTTTGAATCTATTTGAAATAGACCTACTTTCTTTGCCTGTGAAGGAATTATTTATTAATCTGATACCTCATCCATGGGCTAGAATTGTGTCATTCCATGTATAAGGTCATTAAGAATGTTTTAAATATCGTTCTAAAAATGTTTAGAATTCAGAGATTTTTGGCCAGAATACAGAATTCAAGCCACAATTCCAATCTCATTATGATGCAACAATAAGGCTACATTCCTTGGCTAAATATTAGAACCCTAGAATGTTACAACAACCAGAAGGACCAACGAAAAAAACTGTATCCATTCACTAAACCATAACTTCTCAAGTGTATACTTTTTAAACTCTTTGTTATTGGACAGAATTCGCAGAGGTGAGACTGAATCTGGAGACTGAATCCGGCCAACAGCTGGTCAAAAAATAATAGCCTTAATGTGTAAAAATGTTTCAGACTTTTATGTAAATCAGTAAAAGTAGGCCTACTCACTAGCATTTACTAGATTTTACGAATTATCAGGAGGGTAACTGAAGTTTGAAATCTGGCATGGTCAGAAAGTTAAGGAAATAATTGAATATATGTATATATATATATATATATATATGTATATATATATATATATATATATATATATATATATATATATGTGTATATATATATGTGTATATATATATATGTGTATATATATATATGTGTATATATATGTGTATATATATATATATATATATATATATATATATATATATATATATATATATACATATTTCTCATACATATTAACACATGTTTCTCCATGCAGAGAGGGGTCAGTGAGATGGAGAAAGGCAACAAGGTGAGGGAGGAATGACAGAAAGAAAGACAAAGAGAAATGGAAGCTGAGAATGAGAAAGGAGATTGAGACTTGTAACAAGGTAGACCACAACCGGTGGAAGCTGCAGAGAGAGGTGTTGGAGGAAGTCAATAAGGTGAGGGTGGAACCAGAGCAAAGAGAAAGGCTAATTGAAGAGTTGCTGAGACAGATCAGAGAGACTGAGGCTTCTATTGAGGTACACCACTACCAATGGAAGCTAGAGAGAGAGAGTTGTTTGAGAAACAGAGAGAAAGCACAGTGTCAGACAGAAAAAGATGGAGCTCAAGATGGCAAAGCTGAAGGTTCAGAACATACTGAACTTGGACACGTTAGGAGAGGTGACAGTGGAGAGTACTAAGCTGTTAGCTTAGAATGAAAGAGAGAGAAATGTTGAGAGAAAGCTTAGTTGCAGACAAAGAAAATATAGAAGTCAAGATGACAAAGGTGACAATGCAGAACACTGCACTTGGCCAAGATAGGGAAGTTGACCATGGAGAACACATTTACATTACATTTTAGTCATTTAGCAGACGCTCTTATCCAGAGCGACTTACAGTTAGTGAGTGCATACATTATTTTGTTTTTTATATTTTTCATACTGGCCCCCCGTGGGAATCGAACCCACTAGCTGAGAATGAAAGGCAGCGAGAGGTGTTGGACAAACAGAGAGAAAGTGCAGTGGTTATGGGAGGTGACAGTGGAGAACAAGAAGAGACTGTTAGCTGAGAATGAAAGGGTGGAGAAGGAGAGGGTGAGAGAGAGGAATGGATGGAACCTCATAAGAAATGGTTTGGAGACAGCTTTGGCCAAAGCAGACCAGGAGAGGAATCAGACCCTAGTAGCCTGGACGGAAGACAGGGGCAGATGGACAAAGGCCAAGGCTGGCCTACGAAGCCTCTGGGATCAACGGGGGAAAGATGGATGAAGGAGAAGGAGATTAAGAGGAGGAGCACGCAGGCAGCAGAGGAGTGGATGCTTGAGCTGAGAGAGAAAGAAAGCGATAGAGGCTCTGGAATGAGAAAAGAGGAGGATTCTGTGCCTGCATGGACAACAGAAGAAGGGATGAGAGATGGAAAAGGGAGAGATGGAAAAGGAGAGGTTGGAGCTTACTGGGGAGTGGGAGAGAAAGAACAGTGAAATTGAGAAAATGGCAGCGATTACAGCCTCAAGTCTTCTTGGGTATGACGCTACACGCTTGGCACAACTGTATTTGGGGAGTCTCCCATTCTTCTCTGTAGCTCTGTCAGGTTGGATGGAGAGCGTCGCTGCACAGCTATTTTCAGATCTCTGCAGAGATGTTCGATCGGGTTCAAGTCTGGGCTCTGGCTGGGCCACTCAAGGACATTGAGAGACTTGTCCCGAAGCCACTCCTGCGTTGTCTTGGCTGTGTGCTTAGGGTCGTTGTCCTGTTGGAAGGTGAACCTTCAACCCAGTCTGAGGTCCTGAGCGTTCTGGAGCAGGTTTTAATCAAGGATCTCTCTGTACTTTGCTCCATTCATCTTTCCTTCTATCCTGACTAGTCTCGTAGTCCCTGCCGCTGAAAAACATCCCCACAGCATGATGCTGCCATCACCATGCTTCACCGTAGGAATGGTGCCAGTTTTCCTGCAGATGTGACGCTTGGTATTCAGGCTAAAGAGTTAAATCTATTCAAAATTTACCACACGCGGACTCCAATCAAGTTGTAGAAATATTTCAAGGACGATCAATGGAAACAAGATGCACCTGAGCTCAATTTCGAGTCTCATAGCAAAGGGTCTGAATACTTATGTAAATAAGGTATTTCTGTTTTTTATTTTTAATACATCTGCAAAAATTTCTAACAACCTGTTTTCACTTTGTCATAATGGGGTATTGTGTGTAGATTGATGAGGAAAAACAACAACAATGTAATACATTTTAGAATAAGGCTGTAACGTAACAAAATGTGGAAAAAGTCAAGGTGTCTGAATACTTTCCGATTGCACTGTAAATAGGATAATGTTGGTCATGAAGTCAGTCTCGTCCAAAACTGAGTTTTATGAGACTTGTGGTTGTGACTGCATCAAAACAAAATTAAGGTTGGGTTTGTTTCAAACCTTCCCACAGCTGGCAGCACACAATTAACCATCATTTCGGAGTGCAGCTGCATGCGACCAGAGATACTGGATATAATTACAGATTATCTATTATATTGACCAAATACTTAAGTGGCCGCTATAACAATGAAAATAAATGCCTTCAAAAATGGAAGGCAGTTGGGAGGAGGCAAGATCAGGTGGTACCATTCTAGCCAATGAGAGGGCAGATACGTGTGTATCAACAGGCAAAACTCAGATATAAAGTGTTTTTTCTCAAAGTTGCCGGCATGTCATGTGTCCTACTTATATTAGTACACTCGTAACAACCTAAGCATTATGAAACTTATATTTCATCAAATAAGATACACGTAGCAAATAAGCCATTACATTTTTTGTTAACCAAATTCGACACTCTCTCATTGACCTCTCTCAAAACTCCTCGCTTGGTGAACTAAAAAAATTTGAATAAACGCCACCTGCTGGAGAAGACAGATTTTGGGCCCAGTTATCCTTGTCACTTCGCCTCTTCCTCGCTGATAAAATGACGAAATGCTTGGATCTCCGTCCTAACAGTGCGATTCATTGTCCGCCCATTGGTGGATACATCTCGTTATTTGAATACTTTTTTGTATATTCGATGAGGGGTGTTGACATCAACCGCCTGTATTGAATGGAGAGTAAGATGCTAGCCTCATGAATATGCATAGACCATCT